AACCTCTACGACAATTGGTTACAACCAGTCTTACCTGCTTCACAGCCCACAAACGTGTAGCCATATTTGCTGGAGACGGCCAGCAACTGGCAACGCTCTGAAGGGGTCAACGTCTCTGGCTTCTCATCAAATATCTTGAGACGAGTAAGTTGGTGGAAACGTAGATTCTGGGCAGTGGTAGAACAAATAATCCCATGGGTGAATAAGATTCCAACGTTTGCAAAATGAGAAAACCTTGCGGACAAAGATCAATTTAGGCAATAATCGTGTTGCTTTCAAAGTCGTACTGTTGTTCCATCACCATGTCCTATGTACGACTGAATATAGATCTAGAGTTAGACGAGCCTTAACTCTACATTTGCACAGCATTAAAACAAGCTGAGTTTTTACCCAAAAAGAATGGATTCTGCAATAAAAACTCACTGTAACTTCCCTCTCTGCAGGGCCTGTCTCCTGTTCTGCCATGATTACTTTCAGTTTGAAGTAAGTGATAGGCCCAAGGCCTCACTGGGAAAATAATCACAAACAGATGAGCATTACTGGGAATCACATCAACAGGAACAGGTTCTGTATACCGTCTCCAATTTTTTTAATCTTTAACCCTAACCCTCCAAAATCTTCCCAAATCCTTGTCTGTAAAGTGGAGGAATTTGGAGGATTCATGGTGTACGGCAAAGGTGCATGGCTAATATTGAAGGATGCCATTCGTGAAGGTCTTGGATTGAATCTTATGTTTTTGTGCTTAGTCAAGCACAAATTCAGCCGGATATTTCTTTTGAATCCACTGCACAGCTCAACAGTGCCATTCGCACTGCCTCAACATAATGACAGGAATTGCCAGAGGATTCGGGCAATTAGGCACACCTCCAAATGACATATTCAAGAAATTTTGGGAGATTTTGGCTCAATGCAATTTTTTCATGTTGAAAATTGGAGGATTTTGGAGGATTCGGGATGGTTCCTAGTAAAAAGGCTGAGGGGGTTAGGGTTAAAAAACTAACTATTAAAAGGGAAGACAACATTTTGGGCGGGGTGGGGGTGGGATAGAGTTATGAAAAAGGGTGAACAGTCATGGGGAAATGAATATGGTAGTGGATATTTGACTGTAAACCAGTTCTGATTTGCTGTTTTACCCATAGTGCAATTGAACATGCACAAGGAATGTTTCTGGGTTTTCTTCTGGTTCCATGCTACACTGTCATTGTAACTTTGCATTTTGAGATGGAATTCAGATCTAGTGCGATGTCAGACTTTATTTCCCTTAAAGAAAATCCGTCAGTGCCACACAGGCTCACATTTCATGAACATGATGAAAAGAAAAGTGTAATATCCTGCAAATTTAACTTGAAATTCGATTAAAACATTTTAAGATCGGATAGTGGGATTTTTTGGCACAGGAAAAAATTTGCAATTTGTTGGAATGGCGCAGCCTAGATTCCATCCATCCAACAACGTACTGTTCAGTCATTTTGCCTTTATCCATTCAATCTAACGGGCTCACTCTCACAGTCGCCATCTTTAAAATAAGGTTGTTGAACATTACGTCACTTGATGCCTCATCGTCTCGACAGCTGTTCCGTGTCAAGACATCTAAACTTCTACCAAAGTTTTGGAAGAGCCCATTGGTACATGTAGTACCTTATCGCTCAGTCCGTGTATTACATATGTCTTGACATGGAACAGCCGTCGAGACGATGAGGGATCAAATGATATGATGTTCAACGACCTTATTTTAAAGACGGCGACTGTGAGAGCTAGAGCGAGCCTGTTAGATTGAATGGATAAAGGCAAAATGACTGGAAAATACCTGAATAACGTGAGTGAAATCATTCAATAAATGGTTTTTAGAAAGTGGAAAGGTCCAGGATCATGTCCGTGTGCAAAAGAAATTGCGCCCACGATGATAAGTGGGTGCGCCGAAAATGTTCAGAACGCCGACACGAAATTGCGTATACGGATGTGTGGCTAAGGATGGTTCGCGGGAGTGAGAGTCCGTGCCACACTCACTAGTACTAGGGGCTAGACTAGGCCCACATCACGACGATTTCTTCCGACGTTTAAGTGTAATTTTGCATATCTATCTCATTGAGTTCAGCCTTTATCACTGTACTTTTCAAATCGCCTTGAGGTTGAAATGTGGTACTTACCGACCCTTACTTCTCCTTATTGGTTTTGAAGCTAATTTTAGGAAGAAATCATGCACAACTTCTCAGGCATAGCCGCCATGAAACATGCAACTTACTTCAATTCAATGCAGACCCCGAGAGGGCGCTATAAATCAATCTGGCAAAACAGAAAAAAATTAAACTAGTCCGTCGGTCACCGCGCGATGGCGTTATAATCATTTGCTGTAAAAAACATAAGACATGATGTAGACTGAATCATGTGAATCGCATATACTTCACCAATACTTATAAAAATTGAGAGTTAAACCGGCCCTGAATTCATTTCTTTACTCTTCATTAGATTCTAAATTTGGTAAGCTTAGCCTCTACACATCACTATTCAATTAACTGTTTTAATGATAAATATTATCTGACATTCTTCCGTCTTCATTTTCATTTTGCCAGCTTAAGCTTAGTCAGCGCCAGCTAGTACTAGGGTAAGTGCGGAAATTTTCGACCAGGAGAGGAATTTCCACCAACTGCATTCAAAACTACGCAGCTGGTTGAATTTCTTGCTTTTCTTATGTGGTCCAATACCCCCACCTTTACGCTACTAGGAATGCAACAAATAAGGTTGTGGTTTTAGTATTCGGGAGTCCTCATCATCAGTGATCACACAGACTGTGTTAGTGCAGTGAGTCAACATGCCTCCAAAGTTTGACCGACGGTTTCGAGAATCGGACTATGGACGGTCACAAGACCACGAAAAGGTAAGGACTGTTGGCAGTACCTGAACACTGAGAGTAATTTTGTAAAATGATGGAATGAATAAAAATGTGTGATGTACACTGAAGGCCTACATTCTTGCTGTCGGCATATCGTCACTGAGTCTTGATTCTTCTCTCTCATTGGTCAGTTGTTGGCTATTCCATATTTCACACTTGAAACTCAAAGGGGCAAAAAAAGTGCTGCGGTCTATGGGGAAAATCTGAATATTGACTAAACTCTTAACCTTTACAGCAAATGTGCCTGAAATTTCACTGTTTAAATGCACTATGAATATCTCCCACACTGTACCAAAAAGGTTTCAGTTATTTTTGTCATGCTGCAGCAAAAAATGAGGAAAACATGCAAATCCTTTGCCGGGACTTTAGCATGTTGAGTGCAATAAGTGGAACAACCTCCGACTGTGAGAATGTTTATAGATTGATATTCAGCCTTTTACTTTGTTTCAAGTACATGTAGTAATTGTCAGTGAGACTGACATTTAATTTAAGACAGCAATGACCATGATGAGGAAAGTAATCATTTTGAATCAACAATAATGGCTTGGTATTGCTGCCAACATTGGTAAACTAGACTTCCTCTAGTCTCCTAGTTTCACACCACATTGAAAATTTGACTTTTTAAAAATAGTTTTTGAAAACAAAAGAATAAGTCGTATTGCTTACTTTTCACAGGAAAATCTCCTTGGGGAATACCATGATGATGTCAGTGACGAGGAAGATTTCTTCGGTGGCAAAGTTCCATCTTCAAGTTCAAGGAGGGTCATGCAACCGGACCCCAAAGTGCAACAGTTTGTATTTAAAGCAGTTTCATTCTAGATGACTTACAAACAGTACCTTTAAATGTCAGAGAACAGTGCTATGGTCCGGTCCATCATCATAAGTCCCCTCACGAGTCCAGTCACAAGACCAGTCACAAGTCATAGAGTGAACAATGATGAAGGAAATGCTCTTGTCACAGCTCATTTGAATAGCTTGTGACTCGGCTTAAGACTGGATAACTTGTGATGGACTTGCAGGGATTTATGATAGACTTGACTGCAACGCTGCATAGATGGCCAGTTTCAAGGGCCCAAAATGAACTTCTGAATTAAAAACCCTTGCCACAAACACGAAATCATTTAAAGATATGCAATTCAAATATATGCGCATCTATAGTTGGGATTTCAA